TTAATATCACATAGACCAAAAGAAGTCTTTCAACTTAACAATCCACAAAATGTATTGTGTTTAGATTTACTTTTTGAAACAATTCGAAAAATGATTAAAAATACAAGTCTTTTCTTGATTATTTTTCACACCACACTAGATCATTTACAACAGAGACACTTTCGACGTTACGATCTTCGAACTTTCACAAATAATGTACACAAATCTCTCAAACTTTCATTTTCAGTACACAATGATCCTCGCGACAAATTGTCATACGACAACGTTGTCAAACGTGTCGCGCAACTTTAGTATAACACGACACACAATGTGAAACAAAACACGATTAATACTGGGTCGACTCAGTTCGGTTTGATTCAAGAGTAAACAAAAGTAAAAGTATTGTATAACAATACCGCTAGCAATAGAATCAAGATCTGATCAGCCACTGAGATTCGCTTGTTAGAATCATTCTGAATTCCATTCAAATTACAAGATGACCACTTCTGTTCAATTGAGAAAGATGGGTGGTTTGTTTGAAGGTAAGGCATGAAGAGTAATTCCCCACCAGCTGAGTTCAATTCCCTCTCTCTCCATTCCTATATTTAACAATTCAAAATGAAATTATGTTAATTCATGACCCAATTTTGTATAGAAATAATAATCTAAATTAAATTACCTCCAACTCTTTTCCCATAGTGACAACAATGGTATCATTGCTTGCGCCAAATGACGAACTATGCGACTCCGACTGCAAACAGAACTCGCCGGACTCTAGTAGAAGATGGAGCTTCAAAGCATATTGACATGATTCTTGGCATTTTTCTTCGACTAGTGAGGGGATTCGATCGATGATATTAGCTCGATGGTACCTAAAAATGCTCATTGTGGATTCTCCTAATTGAACTTGCTCTGGAGATTGGTTTACAGCACTTGGAGCAATTACCTTTGCTAATTCTTCTGCAATAGCTTTGAGTTTTATGGCAACATTCTCCATGTTTTGCCTGCAAATGGTGTAAATAATCTCAACTTGTGTAGCTTTAATGAAGGTATCCATCTTTTTGCACGTGGGATGAAACCGAGATACTAATGCAAGTTCTTCCCTTCTGTCTGAATCAGATAGATTCGTATCTGAAAGAGGTTGACAATAAATTCTTTTAAAATTAACTATTTGTTCTTTCGTTGGTCTTCCTAACAAACGGATCCAAATTATACATTTTGGTCTTTGATGGCTTGGATCGGATGAATATACTCCGTTAAGTTTTAGCTTCACTTATTTATAAAAATTACTAGTGTTTAGACTGGAGAAAAAATGAAGTTGACAAGCTGAAAATTTTCCCAGATGATCCTTTTGTAAGTGTAATTTTTTAAAATGTTGAAATTTTAAAATAAAATTCAAGTCTTACCAATTTAAGTGTGTGTTTGGTGAGAATTAAAATTAGATTTTCAGTAGATTGTGATAGAAATTTTTAAAATGTATAGTTGAAAAGATGTGGGATCCATGAAAGATGTGGTTAATATTGATTGTTTGACTTTGACTTAAATTAAAATCTGATTTTAATCCGTACCAAACATGGCCTAAATGTGAAAGGCACCTAAACAATGTCAAGAACCAAAAAATGCGAAAATAGATGAAATTCGAACTTGATAAATTTTACCTAAAAATCTGATATTTTTGCTCTCCAAGAACAATTTTACCCTTCTCTATGAACTCCTTATCATCATCACACCACACAAACTTCTCATGATCTCCATAATTTGTGCAACATTTAACTGGCAGTCCAAATATCTGTTCACTATCAAC